GGTCTCTGAGGCACATTTCGATTAGAATTTACCCATCAAAGTTACATTTAAACAGTGTTGGAATACTTCCTTATGGAAATAGGAGACCCCAGATCATGCCTTAAACATGTATTTGTGCATTAGGAAGTTATGGGTAAGTTACACTTTCCAGGTTTCACCCAAGGGTGCAAAATGTGCAAATAACCTACTAATTCAGATCCTAGCATCACTGTTACAGTATGTCTTTTTCATCTTACTCTTCTAGATTTAAAATGTGATCTGTGACAGTATCCATATGGCATGAGGTAAAAGCTTTGGAAAAAACAATGCAAACATGATCACATGAATTCCAGCTAAAATTACTGGCAGGAAAAAGTCATGTACTAAATTTAAAGCCCCATTTAATTTATTAGGCTTCTTAGGCATATATAATTCCATTTCTCTTCTCATCCTTCCATGGCCTAGTTTTGTTTTATTCATCTTTTTCCAGCAGATTTCCATTGCTTGCAATGGAAAGCTTCATGAACTATCCAAAGACAGCTAGAGGAACAGTTAGAGCTTTTTATTATGTATTACTATGATTTATTATCTTTTTCCAGGCCATCTTACAGCTTCCTCCACTATTTCTGCCAAGGAGCTTAGTGACAAACAGATGACAGTAATTCAATAAAGTCTAAAAGACTGCAAAGTAGGGGAGTCAAATGGAAAATGACAGAACTTATAGAGGCAGAAAGGGTAGGTAAGCAATCTGGTTTTGGGGCTGACATGATGATTAGCATTTTCTTGACAGTGTCTCTGCATTCCAGAAGCAGCTCTGCACTTAGCAATTCTTGAGTCCAGCAAGAACATCACGTATTTTCTTTTGGGACATGAATGGCCTTGCTGTTTCAAGTTTAGACTGCCATGAACAATGAACAAGGAGAATGCAAGAAGAACGAGAATGCTGTGCTGAACACAGCAGTTCAGTCCTTCTGGAGGTTTAAAATATTAACGCAATCACCTGATTTCTCCACCACTATTCAACATTTTCATTTATTAAAATAAAATGTATTAGGACTATTTCTACAGAGAATGAGCATATTTTCATGTCACTTCTCACCTGTTTCTGTCACCTTCAGAACATTTTACACATCCTACAGGATTTTCTAGGTGTCTCAAAGGAAGGAAAAAATGCAGTAGAGACAAAAGAAGGTTATGAGTCTGAAAGGGAGGCCATAAGGCACATTTTGCTCAGAGTAAGAAACCAAATGTTTCATAAAATGGCAGAGTTCATTAGGTAAATTGCCTGGGTCTTCAGAAAGAAAAAAATAAAATAAAAAACCCTGTACTCCTGCCCTTGGTGAATATATTTCATAAGAAAAACAAGCAGAGATTATTGATTCAGTCTGATCAAAGCAATGTTGTGTTCAGCCTCTCCCAAAGAAGGAAATATGGACTTATCAAAGCCCAGCTATGCCTATACACTAAGGTAATGTTTTACCTCCAGACTTCCCGAGTGGGCCGCACACTGCAAGGGTGTAAATTTGTGAACTACATCCACCTCATTAATACTGGCTCCACTTTGTATCATCGATGCAAGCTGTTCTACATCCCCAGCTTTCACTGCTTCATGCACACTAGTGTAATTTTGCTTCTTCTTGACAACTAGTGAGGAGTAATAAAAGGGCATTAGTCCACTGCTTAAATCAGCAATATTTAAGAGACAGAGAATGTGTGATGAATCAAAGAAATATCAGAGTTGACATTCATGGCACAGAATCAAACTCTAAATGTAGAAGCAGTAGGATAAAAGATACCAGGCCATGGTATCAAATAACCTATGTCCTCCCTTCAGGCCTTTTCACTATTAACTACATGACTGGAAACAATGAGAATTACATATCCAAACCCCTTGCAACATCTTGATACCTTGACAAAACTTGTAAACAGAAATATGAGATGTAAGCAGATCTAATGGCCAAGGGGGATAATTTCAGATAGCCTAATAAGAAAGGAACCTAAACCAATTAGTATTCACCTTCTGCAGTAGTCATCATTCTGGTACCAAAATGCACTAACACTGTGATTACACTTCACACTGCTGGAAGTCCTGAAGAATTGGGCTACTGTTTAACAAGTCAAGAAAGTATAAAACTGAAGGTCTCAAGGTATTAGTGCTTCAGCTCCTCCTCTGCCTGTGGAGAAGAAATGGTAATAGCAGTTAGCACTGTTACACAATTTGAGGTAAAAAAATATTAAAGAATATAAAAGAGATATTGCACAAAAAGATTTGTCGTATTTGTAAAAAAGCACTAGATATAATTAAAAACATCCTCTGCAGTCTACCAGTGCCTATTTTTATGTAGTCTGTAGTGTGATAGTAGAGCTCGAGCAGATTCAGCATTGCCACGGGGGGGGGGGGGGGTGGGGGGGGGGAAGTAAAGCTCCAGCACTGCAGTCTGACAGCAACACATGCTGTGTGTGCTGTAACACACCGCTGGATCCTGTGCCTGTGCCTCACCCCACCTCCACCTCCCCAGCATGGCAGGCTGCATCACTGCCCTGCACAAAACCAGAATTCCATCCTGCAAAACACTGTACAAACAAACAGCAGCAGCAGCACAGAAACACAGAATAGTTCCAGAAGGAAGGGGCCTCAAGAGGTCATCTAGTTCATGTTTTGAGGTTTGAGTTGTTTAGGTTATTTTAAAGAACAGTTTCATCAGGACGTAATTTTCCCCCAAGGAAGTAATTGCTCATTATACCAAGTGAGGGTTACAGACTTCAGTCGAATTACACAACATCACAGGCTGGCCTGGCTGATTACACTGCTCAGCAAAGTTCTAATGTGTTTAACACAGTGTTGCGGTACAGCAAGTTCAAGGCAACTTTTTTTTTTTTTTTTCTCTTTGACCCAGAGGAAAAGCAAACAACAAGGCCCACCAGCAGAAAGAATTTTGTCTCCCCTGTCCCTCTAGATACCTACTACTGCATGGAGATGAATGCCAAGGGTGGGTGGCTGCACTGGCTTCTTGGCACAAGACAAAGGCAGCAGCCTGGGACTGAAGCTCAGAAAGAAGCTGTGAACATCAGTTTTGTAAGAAGACACATTGAATGTTCAAAGTAAAGGGCGGGCTCCATAATTCTAGTGCAATTTTTTAACCAAAAACTGTATCAAACACTCGTTCAAATGTTCTGGGAGAAAAGTTGCAGAAATAATTCAGCAAAAGCACTTTGAGATCGATACCCGCCCAAAATCCAGTTAAAGAGATTAAGTGAAGAAGGCTATGGCTCGGAATAGGGAAAGGCACAGTTGAGTGTTGCGGTGTTTCCGTAACACACGAGCCCAATCCCCCGGAGCTCGGCGCTGGCAGCAGCCCCGGGGCCGCGGGAGCGGCGGGCCCGGCCCGGCCCGTCCCGCCGGGGCGGAGGCGGAGCTGCCAAGGCCCGGAGCAGGGGGAGGGCCCGGCCGGCCGGCGCCAAACACCGCCCTCCCCGCCCTTTTGGTGGATGCGGAGCCGCCTCAGTGCCGTGTGTGGATCCGGGCGGAGCCCCGCGCTACAGACGCGGGGCTCGGGAGAGCCGGTCCCGCCCCGCGCCGCAGCGAGGGCCGGGGGAAGGAGCGGGCGGAGGAGGGGCGGGCGGGGCGGGGCGGTCTCACCGGCCGGAGCGGGGCACAGCCGCCCCTCGCAGCGCAGGGCCGGCAGAGCGCTGTCGCCGGGAGCAGCTCCCTCCACCTGCTGCTGCTGCTGCTCCCCGCCCCGGCGTTGCCATGGGCGCCGGGCTCGCCCTGCCCGCGGAGGAAAATGGCGGGCGGGGCGGGAGAGGCGCGGGCCCGGCCCCGCTGCACGGGCTGCGCTGCAGCTGCCCGCGGCTTTCCGCGCCTTTAGGCAGCCCCGGGCTACAGCCTTCACGGAGAAATGTAACGAGTACCAATTGTCACCTCGGAACTCCCCAGTGATGCTCTGAGCAAGCATTGAACCAGTTTGTGCTCTGGATGATGGGACTCCAGTCACGTTGTGGGCATCTTTAACCCTCGTCTTTCCTGCAGTGACGTGATCCTGCTCCTCAATTCCCTTAGTCAAAACCAGCTGGCACCCTGGGCGTAAGCCGGGTTCCTTTGGTTGAGGGGAAAAAAAAGGACGCTGTATTTCCAGAATCCTGCTTCCAGGCAGAATGAACCCTTCCCAGCAGATTTACAGGTGTGCAGTGATAATTACATGGACCAAGGGAGTTTAATGAACCATTTAGGGTTTAATTATCCTCGTCATTAAAGAACTGTCATAAAGCCTATTTCTGCAACTTACAGGTCTCATTTTTGTTCCATCTTCAGTAGACAGAGTAAGTTGTTCCCTTTTCTGAACAGCTTTCTACATATTTACAGACATCACATCTCTGCTCAGTCTCCTCTGAACTTCAGTTGTGATTTAGAAGTTCACAGTATTTCAGAATATAAAGCATCATATTTGGGCCAGGGGACCAGGCTACATCCCTGCTCCAGGAAGAGGCTGCAATGACTAACACAGAAGTACACCCCACACCATCACCAGCAGCCACACACACCACTGTATGGACTGACACCACTCTGATCCATTGTATTTTTGTTCCTCTGGACTGTCTCTAATTAAACAGCATTTTAAAGTCTGATATCTAGAACAGGGCAAGCTCACAACTACAGCTCCAACCTTAATAGAAGAATCATATTACTCATATCTTTAATAAAACTGCATGAAGCCTGGGTGTCAACATGGAAAGAAGTTTTTGCAGCTAACATCTGCACTGCTGATTATTTCTACTTACACACTAAGGAGGAATTCTGACTCCCAAGTATTCCCACTACAAAAGTAATATGCTAGGACTGCAACACTGCTTTCTGAGTTTTAGTGCTTCTGTCTTGCTCCCAGCAAGTTAAAAATACACACTGTAACTAGCAGAGTGAATAAAACATCAAATGCATACTGAAACACACAGCTTTATTTCAATTCACACAAACGTAACAGCCACACAGACCCATCACTGAAAGGAAGAGACTCACACTCAAATATATGCTTCATTTTATTTATAACATTTAAGAAATATTAACATCTCAGGATATCTGGTTTACCATCTAAGTCCAGTCATAAGCAACAAAAAAAAAAAAAAAAAAAAAAAAAAAAAAAGTTAACCATGTTTCAAATGAGCATTCTTACATTCATTCCCCCCCTGTAATGTAAAGAAAATGCAGCTTTGTTAAATTTGTGTTTGACTAATGGAAAAAAAAAATCATTAAAAATGTCTTAACTACCAGGCATCCTGGTTTGTTAATTTTTGTTGGCACTTATGTTCACCACAATCAAGCACTCCAGTTGGTTTGTTAAATTTTCCCCTTCTACCCAGAACTTTCTGTAAGTTTTTCTGCGGATTTTTTTATTATTTTGTTGTTGTAATTGTTTTTTTAAACATCTGGATATGTAAGGTTGTTCAAATAACTTTAAAAAGACAAGGAATCTAGGCCTGTCTGAGAAGCTCCTTCCCTTGATAACCCACCTATGGGAAACTGAAGGAAGAAACTTGCTTTCATTTTTCTGAATCTTATTAAGCAAAAATTCATTTTAATTAATTTTAAACTGAAAAAAGTACAGAAACACTGTATTTATTTGATGGTGTGCATAAACATTACACTCCATACATAGCAAAAATATCTTTTATTTATAATTTACATTTCAACAAGTGAAAATTTTACATTTTTACATATACCATTAAATTTTCACGCATCTACAGAACTTTCACACCATGACACCTGAAACTCTGCAGGCAATAAGAAATTTCAAATACAAAAATGTATTTATTAACCAAACAGTAGTTGAGGCCCTGCCTCAATTGGACATTTTATTCATATAAAAAGTATTCGCCTTCCAGAATTAACACAGCAGCTCTCCTGTAAAAAAAAAATCATACCGCAGTTTATTTAAACAGACTCCTCAGGTTCTGTTTTGATTTCTGTAGATGCAGGTGTGGTCTCTTCTGCACAGGCAGGAGGGGTGTCATCAGGTTCTTCTTTGATTTTAGGTGAGTCACAGGACTCTTCTGTTTCTTGTTTAACAATGTCCAACATTATATTTAGTGGATTTTCTGAGGGAGTCTTGCTGGGAGACGGTGTGCAATCAAATGATGATGTCTGCGAAGTGAAAGTCAATGCAGCATTAGCACACTAAAATAACCATTTTTAGCCTCTTAATTTTTTTGCTTTTTTTCGAAATGCCAAATATGTTGATGGTCAGGCACTCAAAATCCAACCTTCTACTCTTGTCAAACTTTTAAAAAAACAAATTCATTTTTTTAATAGCATTATTTTTTTTCCAATTCCTTTGAAAAGTATCACCAAGTGGTGATGAAATGCTTAACACATTACCATGAGCTGGTGTAATTCCCAAAGCATTAAAAATGTCACACACACCAATACCCATTTACTCCATTGTTACAAATTCCTAAGATTACACGTTACTCCACACTAAATCCATCAATCCATGGCTTTGCTTTACGGCACACAAGCTGCCATGGTACACCACAACCAGAAATGCACCTCAGCTAATTCTGTATTATAAACTTGCCATGCCCAAGACCTCCATGTCTTAGGCAAGAGAAATGAGCAGCACATTCTGAACACATCTGCTCCCTGCAAAGTCAAGATAAGAAGCAAACAAACTGAAAGCAAAATGCTTCCAAAAATATGAAAGATTCACTTACATTCTGGTAATCTTCATAACAAGATGGATGGTAAATCTGAAAAAAAAAATGTTATCTATTTAAATATGTAAAAATAAATTATAGCAGCATCACTGATAATGAACTGAACAGTGTCTAGTACACATTATGACAAAATTCATCTAGAGAAACTATGGTCTGAACAGGCTAAGTATGGTGTCAACTACACCTGCAACAAGATTTTATGATATTTAGGAAATGTTATCATAGAGAAGGCTGGTAAGTGCTGGGAATTACAGAAACCTGGTGAGTGCTGGGAATCACCTGTGCACAGCTGCATGCAGGAGAAACTGAACCCATGCCTACACCCATACACAGAGACATGCATTTTTCTTTGAGCACTGCAGTGTAAGGGAGAGCTAGTGAGCTCATACCAATGACACCAGGATTTCAGGCACTTCCAAAGGCAGAGATATTTATGTATTTGGAAGCCAGAAAAACTATAATAGGAATCCTTCAAGAGAAAAAGAGCACTTGCAACCCCCTGCTGTTTTTTTTTTTTTTCTGTAATTCTTCAGGGGTTTTACTATAAATTAGCATCATGCGTAAATAAGATCAGATTACCTTTTCATCTACCCTGATAGCATTCTTCAGATGCCACTCTTCCTCTTCCTCATCCCAATACTGTTCAAATTGTTCTTGGCAAATTTCACAGCTCTGAAAATTTATTGGAATAATAGAGATAAATCATATTATTGCAATTTGCTGAACACATGAAATTCAAGAATCTAGAAGGAGTCAAATAAGGTTCTTTTAAATTAAGTATATTAAGCCTAGAACATGATCTTTCCTCTACACTTTAAAAAAAACACTTAAATAATTAGTAAACCTTAATTAAAAATTGAGTATGGTTTGCAGACAAAGGATCACCCTCTGGCCCTGAATACTCTGTTACTTGAGAAAGGTAAGCTTTACCCCTTTAGCTAGTTAGTCTGCAAAGCATTTTGTAACAGTGTAATGCTGTCTTACTGTCATGTAAGACAATCCACTGCAGCGATTTAACTAGTTTTATTTATGGCAATATCTTAATTTTTCCCCCTTAACCTGCAATTTCAAGTCAAACAAGGCAGAAGTTTTTTTGTACTTTTGTGAAAAATTATCAACCCAGAGAACAAAGCACAAAAGGTGCTTTTTAGAATTTAAATAAAAGGCCTTTCTGGTTTCATAGCTAGTTTATTAGAGACTTAGCACATAAAACTAAATTGTAATTCTAACATTTGTATTTGATTACGACACCAATTCATCTACCAAAATACAGCTCTACTGGTTAGAGATTCAAATTGTAGTATTTCTTCTTCTAAGGCCTATCTGCTACCAAAAAAGAAATTTTTGTGTTTGAAAAGTACCAAAAACCCAGTAAATCCTGTAGTTATCTGAATGACAAACGACCATCAAAGGACAAATTGCTTATGCTATTTTCTCTACATTAACACACTTTGCCCATTTCAATTCTGCTAAAACCACACAATTCCAATGGCTGTGGATTTTTTTAAACTACAGGTTTCTACTACTCCCGACCCTGGGAAGCAGCCATTACATACACAAATACACAGCCTATGCAGGGGCTACACAAAGGCCCAAGTACAATATTCCAGTTTACAATTACTAATAAGAATACAGTACAAGCCTTTAAAATATAGATTCTTGCTATCTGGCAAGCTGAAACTTACCTCCACTGCTCCAGCTGGTCCAGCTGGGACACTCTGAAACTCCTTCTCTTTCGCAGCTTCCTGTGTTTTCAACACAACCTCTTCATGAGCTTTTTCAAAGAACTGGCTTTTAGCACGCTCCTCTAGATCTGCTATTTCTTCAAATTCAATCCAGTCCTAAGGAAAGTGTTTGTTCTCACTCAGACATCCCAAAGTATCATATTTAATAAATGTTACTTTGTTGAAACTGAAATATTTCCCACATGCAGCATAAGCACAGTGTACTCCTTCCCGCAGTGCAACACTTCAAAAACTCTCCTCCCAGAAAAACCACTATCCTTGAAATTCCGCTCTCAGTGGAATGAAAACAGTGCAGTAAGCAGCTTTAAATTGTTTATTGTTCATCACACAATTGCCTTTTGTATTCTGACAGGCATTTGCGGAGTACTGAAGTATCTAAGACATCACTGTTTATCACAACCAACTCCTGTGATGATGCAAATTTCAGCTGTAATCCTACAGCACATGCAGGAGTAAAACACAGAATCCAGCCTGTAACTTATCCATGCAAATACTGCATTACTTACTGTTAAACTGTAGTACCATCTCCTGTGTGTTATTTTTCTGCTAACGTCTTTTTCTGTCCGGTTCTGGCGATAATGCCAATCTAAATGATCTGCATAAACATCTGTCTGTGAAGTAGTGAATCTCATTCCACAGGAGTAACACTGAATTCCAGTGTACAGTCGATTTATAACACTATCATAACGCCTACAAAAAAAGAGAAAAATCTTAGCACTTCTTTAGAAAGCAACAGTAAGACGTTTCTCAGTAAATTGCTTCATTTGCCTACAGTAGTAGGAAAAAAGCACAGATCTGCTCCAAGTTAAAAGTACGCAATATTACCTTAATTCATCCTGATTGTCATAGCACAATCAACTTAAACATTCAAAAAACAATGGGCTCTATTTAACAATTCATGAGAAACATGCTAGTGTTGTGTCTCATTCCTGCTAGCTTTTCTCACCTAATAATGCACAAATAGCATTTGACCCAGCTTTACAAGGCACCACCAAAGCAGTAAAATTAAATTCATAGAATGGTTTGGGTTGGAATGGATCTCAGAAGACCATCTAGTTCCAAGCCCCCTGCCATGGACAGGGACACCTTCCACCACATTGCTCAGGGCCCCATCCAATCTGGCCTTGAATACTTCCAAGGATAGGACATCCAGAGCTCCTCTGGGCAATCTATTCCAGTGTCTCATCATCCTCTCAAGTAAAGAATTTCTTCCTACTATGTAGTAAATTTCTTCATCACTCTGAGGCCATTTGCCCTTTTCCTATCACTACATGGCCTTGTGAAAAGCCCTTCTCCAGTTTTTCTCTTAGGCTCCTTTAGGTACTGGAAGGTTACAGTAAGGCCTCCCTGGAGCCCTTTCCTCTCCAGACTGAACCACCCCAAATCTCAGCCTATCTCCATAGCAGAGGTTCTCCAGTCCCTTCATGATCTTTATGGCCTCCTCTGGAGTCACTCCCAAAAGGTCCGTGTCCTCCTTGTGTTAGGACCCCAGAGCAACACTGCAGGTGGGGTCTCACCAGAGCAGAGGGGGAAAATCACCTCCCTTGACCTCCTTGTCACACAGCTTTTGATGCAGCCCAGGCCAGGGCTTCACTGCCTATCACAACCTTAGTGCTGAAGTAACAGCACGCATATTTGTGTAAAGCTAAGTTTTCCCATGTTAAATTTCCATCTTTTTTCTTTCTTCAACAAGGCTCACATCAAACAATGCAGGTTTCACCTCCTCGGAACCACAAAGTGACAGATAATATGTTAAAAGCTTTTAACTGTCTTGGATGAACTATCTAGCTACTGCCACATTGTTATTCCTACTGTAAGCCCACTCTACTATACGCACTGTCTAAGTTCTTCAACTATGAAGTTAGTGAGGTCTGGAACATTCTGATCTTCATTCTGATCATCATCTTCTTCTTCAGCAGTTGGCTGGGACGATGTTTCATTTGCTTCTAGAAACCATGAAGATATTATTTTATCAAAATTTCAGTACATCATCAGAAAGAAATTATGTGCTCCTAGAAGTTGTTTTTTTTTTTTTTCAAACATTATTAATACTATCTGACTATGGTCAAACACAAGTGTGTAAGAGCTAAATAAGTTATCTTTGACACCATTTCAAAAAAGCATAAAAGAAAATAAGCCAGAATTTCGATTGAGGAAAACAATATTTCACCTCAGTGTTTGGCATTAAAATTCAGTCTTCACAGATACAAAAATATTTCACAAGATGAAAAGACCCTGATGATAATCAAGAACAAGTTACAAAAGCACCAAAGAGAAAACTGACTGCTCTGATAGCTGAAATGTAAATTAAACAAGATACTACAAATTTACCCAATCACATGCACTAAATTCCTTCCAAAATATAGAGTTCAGTTTAAAAAAACCTATACAGGAGTTCACAGTAGTTTGGATACTCAGATTTACACTTGAGCTGTGGATAGACTTGATAGCAAGAACATAATAAATATACATACGTGCTGAAGTAGAATCAGTTTTAGACAATTTGAGGATCCCTGTTTTCAGCAGTTTAGCAAACAATTCATTAACATCAACCTGTCCAAGGTGGTTATCAGGATAAGAATGGGAAAGGGCTCCTGGGGAAGAACATGGACATTTAAGGTGGCAAAAGGTTAGAATCTGAAATTGACTTCACTTTTATCTGTGTATTTCACAACATAATTTTCCTGTTGCCTCCCATTTCTTTAATTTTTTGTTACAAATTATTAACCAAATCTCTGCTTTATCTAGTGTTTGGCTAATTTTTTCCCTTGAAACAGGGAATCTTGTAAGATTTTCCCTTCCTTCATAATGTATTCTGAAGTGCTATCTAAGCTGGTTGCCTGTACACAGATCTCTACTGGATAATGGTTCTTGAAATGCATAGAATATCACACTTAGATATTTCCCCACACTCAATCTACTTCACCACCCAGTTTAACTTTTTATGATGTTACTGAAGTTTTTCACTACTAACCACTCATACACTGGAAATATTTGCACACCCCAGCACAACAAGCTAGACCTACAGACTGATGCCTTCCACAAAAACAGATCAAGACTATTTCTTTTTGTTTTTTCAGCTCAAGTTTATATCCAAACCACACGGTTAATGAAAACTAACAACAGCCTCCAGTGTTTGAGAAAAGCTCCTTAAGAGATGAAGGTGCTACTGACACCATATTTACACAGCCACTTCACTGAGGAGGCTTTCCTTGATCCACACAGACCCAGGAAATCGGGACATTAAAAAAGGTCATTTTTGTGGCTACCACCAAACAAACATTCCAAAAGAAATAGAAGGAATTCTGTTGTTACACACCTGCAGGGTTCTGGACAAAACTTCCAGGATTTGGCAAATACTGCTGACCTTGGCCATAAGGTCCTGGTTGAGCAGACATGAGAGAAACCTGTGAAAGTAAACACTTATGTATGCTTTGTATAATAATGTGATTATAAACTTACTTTTCACATTATTTTATTGTTAACTTCTAGATGTTTCTCAATCATTTCACATATATTGAACTCCTTCCGGGAATTAACCATGTCAGTTTGGGATTGAAAAGGACCACAAATAACTATATGATCTTTGCCCATTTTCATTTTCCACTAGGAAAATTCAGACCACATCCTCATTTTGCCTAATATTAAAAAACAAACAAACAAAGCCCTACCCACAACACCTTTCCTTCTACTTAACAATCACATTTTCCAAACACAGCACTTCCTTTTAAATTGCTCATGTTCACCAAAACAGAGCTCCTCAAGGAATTCAAGGAACTCGTAAATGTCTCTTAATAAATGCCACAATTAATTCCTATCAGGAACTGAACCAGCATTCAGTACAGACATACATCTTGAAAGCAAGACTTTTCAGCGTATCAGCTACAGTAAGCTGTAGGTAGAAAAACAAGTCTCTATAACACATTCGTAATAAAAAGGTTTGGAATTTTTTCCCTAACTGGCTGCTTTCTATATTTACACACTGTTTAAGATTTTATCCCATTAGAGGTCTGCAGGACACATTACCTGCTTTTGTACAATCAATTAACTCTTCACACTCACTTTTTATCCCCTAAAAATGCTTTTTAAAATCTTTAATCTACTGAAAAAAAATTACATCAGTTTCACCACTGTAAAGTATCATATACTCCTTTTGAAGAGAGCATTTCCAATAGGCAACAGCAAAGACAACTGAACTGACAAAGCAAGATGATGCCAACAGAATTTTAAAAGACAACGCAGTTGAGCAAGAAAGTGCAACAATGGCCCTATCTTCCTCAATTTCCCCAAGTTATGGGTACCTCTTTACTCGTAACCAGTACTAGCAGCTGCAAAAAGAATTATTATTTTGGTCCAAAACTTAACTTTGGGTCCCAACGTCCCATTTAATAGAAAAATTAAACATGTATCATGTAATCACTTACATTATCTTTCATGCTTTATATAGAATGCACTTTTGTTGAAATTTAATGAGAATACCAAAAGCTTACAATAACCTGGTTTTGTTCTAATGTTGAAAATAATGATTTCAAAGACATATTCTGAACTATGAAGTGATTGCAATGATCCAGTATTTTGTCTAATACTTTAAAAACACTCTTGAAACACAGCAATGCATGTCCTTCTTAAACTATCTAGTGACTTTTTTAGTTTGAAAGTGACTCTCAGCCTGCCAACTCTTCAGAAAAATATTCCATTTTTACAAGAAGAAATCCTACAAATTCTCTAACAAAACCACTTCTACAAGCAAAGTATTTGATGCAATCAGCTCTTACCTGATTACTTCCCATTGCCATATTACTGAAATTTCCATACTGAGGACCCTGGAGACCTTTTTCTTCGAAGTAATGTCCAGCTGCTCTCAGTGGGAAGTTCTGTGCTCCTGGGCCAGCTGGCCCATTGAAATTTGGTCCAGGTGAACCATCAAATATATCAGGTCTCTGGAACTGCATTCCATGAGCTGGTCCATTGTAGCCCTGGCCAGGATGTTCAACAAATGGACCACCTTGTCCATATGGTGACATTTCTAGTCTTGAGGCAGGATGGTTAGCTACATTTTCAAAACGTGCACCCTGAAGGCCAAGGGGCAAGTCGAACCTAGAGGCTGGCTGGTGAGGTCCATCAAATCTTTGAGGTATGGCTGTTTCAAATCTTGCTTGTGCCTGTTGGCCAGGTGCCAACCTTGGACCAGGCTGTCCATGAATTCCATCAAATCTTTGCAGGAGAGACAGCTGTCCAGGCTGACCATCAAATCCAGCTCCATGACAGCCATCAAATCTTGGACCAGCCCGACCAAGAGGACCATCAAATCTAAGTCCACCAGCCCCCTGGTGTACTGGTCCATCAATCAACCTGGGGCCTAGACCCGGCTGACCACGTGGTCCATCCAGTCTCAGCCCACCGCCCGATGGTCCATGTGGCCCCTCAAACCTGAGCCCACCACCTGATGGCCCATGTGGCCCCATGGGCTGACCATGTGGCCCCTCAAATCTGAGGCCACCTCCAAGTTGTCCATGGGGCCCCAATGGCTGTAAATGTGGCCCCTCAAACCTGAGGCTACCCCCTGGTTGACCATGAGGCCCCAAGGGCTGACCATGGGGTCCCTCAAACCTGAGACCACCCCCTGGTTGACCCCGAGGCCCCATAGGTTGACCATGAGGTCCCTCAAACCTGAGACCACCTGAAGGCTGACCATGAGGACCCTCAAACCTGAGACCAACTCCAGGACCTTCAAATCTAGCACCACCTACAGGCTGCCCTGCAGGTCCTTCAAACCTCAAAGGCCCAAGAGGTCCCTCAAACCGCAGCGGACCTCCTCCACCAACCTGGCCTGGTGGTCCTTCAAATCTCAGGGACCCTGCTAGCTGCCCTGGTGGCCCATCAAACCTTAAGGCTCCAGCTCCCCCTGCTCCTGCCAGTGGTCCATCAAACTGAGATGCACCTGTCCCCACCAAAGGCCCCTCAAATCTCATAGCAGCCTGTCCAGCTGGCCCATCAATTCTGGAACTTGAACCAGCAGCAGGACCATCAACAAAAGGACTGCCTTGTCCATCTACCCCAACCCTTGCAGCAGTCGGTCTAGGTGAGCCATCAAACAGAGGTCTGTCTTCCATCAGTGCACTTATCCTCTGCTTTGCTTCGATACCTCCAAACCTCGATCCTGGACTTTCTGGAAATGGTGCTTTCTCTGGATCTTCATACCTAGCTCTTTTGAAACGTTCAGTGAATGGCGACCTTGGCTCCTCTCGAACACCTAAAAAAAGCAGAACAAATCACATAACCACTCACTAATACATTCTCAATTACTTAACAAATATAAAATAAAGTAAAATCACATACCAGCTTGCCCAAGAAGCTGTCTTTCTTCACGATTATCAAACCTACAGAGTGCATCTCCATCTGTTTTCTGGAACTCTGCTGTACTTTTCCCCTGTTGTCTGAGAGTATCTCTAAATTCATCCGATTCTCCCCAGCTGTCATAAGGATCAGAACCTCTCGCTCCTTTAGTAGCACGCTGGTCTTCAAGTCTTCGTCGACTCTCAAGCGGTGACACGTTTTCAGCAAAAGGTCTTGTAGTGCCACTTACAGGAGAGTGTCTCCTTGATCTTTCTGCAAATGGTTCTTTTCTATCAAACTGTACTCCCCGCTTGGCTTTTGCCTGGTCACATTCTATTCCAGAAAGCAATGCATCAGGTATATGATAATCCAAAATATCATCAGGATCCAACAGATCAAGCCTTGACAATGAATGCTGAACTTGTGTCCTTTTTAGTTTGGCTTTATGTTCATAATATGTTAATTCTGCATCCGATAGAAGAGGTTTCTTTTTCAAACCACATTTTTCCTCTGTAGGACTATCCCAGACATTACATCTGTGCTTTCCTTCCTGATACTGGAACAGCTGTCGGATCTGATGAGCTACCATGAGAAACTCATCTTGTGTTATTTCTCCAGATGTTAAGCGGTCATTAGCCTGTAATATAAAGTTAAAATTTAGACTTCTAAAGAGAGAAAAAAAACCCCAACACCTACCTGGGACATTTCTATGAAGACAGATTTATTAGTATTACCTTCTTAAGTAATTCCCTTTTACTTGCAGATGTCAATTCTTTGGGAATCTGTAAATTGGCATCCACACTTAACCGGTGCTGCTGCTTTGGTGCTCGGGGTGATAGAATTCCTTTACCAGCAGGCCAGTTTTCCCGATGTCTTTGGTGAGGGGATTTAACAAGTGCTTGGTGTTCATCATTCTGCTGTGAGCTGCAAACAAGAATATATGCAAAATATAGATTACTTTGATATTCAGGATGTAATGGCTCCTACTAGAACTGATCATGGCAAAACATTGCTATCACCTTACAATCTAAGTATGCATTACCTCTGTATTTCACTAGTAGAAATAAGTTAAACCTATCCATTTTAACAATCTGAACACTGCCTCTCAAAGTCAACTATACTGAAGCCAACAGAATTTCCACTGACTTCACACAGAACTTGTTTAAATGATAGTAACTTACTTTTTACTTTCTTCCCAACCAGATTTCCACCTCTTGCCTGATTTGGATCCCTGCCAGTTTTCTGCATTCTCCTTTGGATCTGGAGAAGCTTTTGCAGAATGCTGGGTGGCTGTCTCTTGGGGTCTTTCTTCTTGGGCTTTTTTCAATCTCCTTGGATCACGCACCTCTTGTTTAACATTTCTCTTACTAGAATTTCTTTCATCTCTTGCTGCTTGTGTGCCTTCTTCAACATGAGACTGCTTAGGGCCTATCTGACGTATCTTTCCAATTTTAGGAGTTGATGAAGTAGGAGATAAACTCCGAAGTCTTCTTTTAGGTGATCTCCTCTCCCGTCTTTTTGGAGAATGTGTAGATGGTGATCTTGCCTTAGGAGAGCGTGACCGTGACCGTTTTCTACTACTGGATCTTCCTTGTTTTCCACCCTGTTTTTCTGACTCCTCTGTAGTCCCGTCTTGTTTCTGAACAGCACCGTTAATCACTTTATTTCTGCTCCCCACCAGTCTATGTTCACATGTCTTATGCTCCTCTTTCTCCTTCTTTTCTGTACTTCTCCTCTTTTCTTTGACCTCCTCTTCTTTCCCCTCTGACTTATCTTGAAGATGTCTTTTCAGTCTTGGATCCCGCTTACTGATGTCAGAAACCTTAGTGCTTTCACTGTCTTTAGTATCGGGCAGTTTATTTTTTAAAGGGGATGGCGATTTAGATTTTGCTTTGGACTGTTCTAGTTCTTTCTTCTGTGTTTTTTCACTTGCTTTTGATTTTTCTGACTTTGTTGAGTTCTGTTTTTCAGCCTGTGCTGTTTTGTTTCCCTTGGTCTCAGACTGACCAGTCACACTCGGTGAAAATTCTTTCCTGTGAGACTGATCTTTAGTATGAGAAGAATGTTGACCCATCCTATTAAGTCGAGGATCCCTGTTCACTATTTTGATATCATGAAGTGGAGGACTTGGGGATGGTTTGTTTTTTTCAGATTGCACAGCAGTTTGATGAGGTGGTTTAACTGTCATATGAGGTGTGGGAGACATGTGTTGCTTGGAAGGTGCTGGAACTGAAGCTATATTAGATGATCCCTGCTGAACACTGAGAGACACAGCCTGAAATTGGAAAAAAAAATCCAGCATTAATCTCTATGCCACAACTCCTACCCAGAGGTGCTAATACTCTGTCTCAAAACCAAAACTGCAATAGTCATGTCTTGAAAGTTATGAGCTTCAGCCATTTAACAGAAATTCGCCCACTAACTGCTAATTATAAGCACTAAAATAATGCAGTACCATTACAAATCAAATTCAAATACAGTGCAAGATCAATATATAAAGAAAATGCTGCAAAATATGCAAATTTGGCATACATTCCAATTACAGTGCCAACTTTCCTATATATTCCACATGGTCTAGGCAACTCCGCTGTCAAGTATCCTATTTTCACACTCCAGTTCAAAGATGATTTTGTATTGTCAATGGCCAACACAGCAAGACTTCCAACTACTGCCGACCAAGGAACTGATTTTCCTTACAAACAATCAGGTTCCCTTGTTCCTTAGGAACAAACATACTAGAAACATCCCAGCTCACTGGGCTGATAAAAATGAAGATCACAGTAAGGTATCTTTCTGAAGAGAGATTAAAACCAACCTCAAGAATTTAACTTTTTTTTTAACATTTAAGTGTTAATACTTAAGTTTTAAAAATAATAAAAACTGTTCAGGAACCCCAGATCACCTTGCATAGCTCTAGAATTCCTAAAATAGCTACACTTGCCTAACATGAGAGAAAACCAATGTACTGTACTTACCACTACAGTAAAGTACTCTCCAAAAGAGAGACCCCCAACTATGAAAGTGTTATCAACTATCCTACTCACCAACTGTGCTTTAGTCTGTTCCAGCTCCAGCTCTAGTTTTTTTTGCTGAAGTTCTAACAACTGTTTTTGCTTTGCAAGCAATTGTTGCCTTATCAGCTGCTCCTGTGTCAAATTCTTTTGTATTTCAGGAACAGCTGGAGGAGTAGAGGCACCAGAAGTGACAGCAGAGGTAGGTGCACTAGATTCCTCTGGCTAAAAAACAAAATAAAGGGAAGTTACATTTAAAATCCTAATGAAATCAACTAAATCCATCTCCTTTCAGTGTTATCATGATCCAGGACCGGGACTTAGTTCATACAGCAGTTACAAACTGCTTTTTTTTTTTTTTTCCCACTATTATTTGCCTACTTTGACAGGTATAGGGAATTTAATATCAATTCTTCAATGTTCCAAAACCTAGAATTCAATTAGTAAATTAAAAAGCCAGACCCTTCAAATATTCTGAATTTGTAAATTTCTCTTACCTGTTTACAAAGGTCAGATAATTCATTCTTAATATTCTAAATTGTCAAAAAGCAGCACACAAACAATGAAAACTACACGTATTACCATCTGTTCTTCCAGAAGGCAGAAAAACTTACCGATTTATTTAAAAACTTAGGATTCACATGGATGCTAGAAGTATTCACATTTGGGGGCAGAGGTTTAATTGGCCAGGCAGGATCTAGTGAGTTGACTCTGACATCAAGTGCATATAGTTTCTTCAAAGGAAAAATATCATCCCATGTGGAGCGTAATTTAAATAAACTTTTCCTAGTATTTTCATCCACCTAAAACAATAAAACAATTCTATGGCTTGTTAAGTTAATATAGAACAATTTCTTAAACTTTTCTGTAGAACTTAAGATTTCATTCATTTCCTATTTCTATCTTGCCATTACAACATACTAAACTTGCTACACAAAATTTATAAGCAGTGCAGATAACACATCTGTATCAATGAGATCAGTAACAAAAGCTCAAATGTGCAATTGTTGGTTCAAGGCCATTTGAAGATTTTATTGTGCATTACCATGCTCTGAGAATTTTCTTTCAACTTTTCCATTAGCAAAATTCTCATTTACTGGCCCAACTTCTGTGGAAAAAAATACAGTAACAAAAGTATTGAAAGGCAACCGCCTCCGAGACAATACATCATTCAAGTGTTTGTGCCAGAGTATAACAATGACAAACAAATCAAGAAAAAACAAACTGAATGGAAAAAAAAGTGTTTTGCTCAGCTGTTTAGTCACTGAGGGATTTTTTCCAACAAATGCAATAAAACAAGTATTAGCTAAAATGAAGTCAACTACTACTTCAGTTCAGTTGCAGAATTAGACCCATCTATGTATGAGTCACAGATCAAATGTACTTGTAAGACCAGAGGCCCATTTTATCTCTTTACAAAGAACTGGATTATCCCATGGCAGCTAAATTAGAAATTTACAATAAAGTAAAATTTGGTTCATCTCATAATTTAAATGGATCAATTAAACAAGGAATAAAAAAACATTAAAGGACAAAATACATGCAGCTGTCAAATTTCAAAATCCCAATTCAATCATTAAGCTTTCCCCATGTAGATGATTTTTGCTGCCATTTTCAGATGTTACATCTAGACATAGAATGTTCTGGATAGTTTGGAGGTTCTTTTTGGGTAAGAGCAGGAACTTCAATAAAAGTCATTCATACTTAATAACTGGGGAATGATGCCTCTATACAATTTTCCATAAGAGGCTTCGCTGAAGTTCACTGCAAAAATGTGCAGGAATGACTAAGCAAACAGTTCTGACTTCAAGTGTTTAAAGATACCTTAGTGACCATTTACTGATAAAACCCAAATCTGCAATGCCTGTGCTGGAATTCTACTCACATTTTTTTTTAATATGACCAACTAAGCAATTAGAAATGACTGCCACTTTCCACATCTAATTAGTACACATAACTAATTCTAGTTAGCTTACTAGAAAGTTAACATATAAAACTCTGAAGGTGAGTTATTATCCAGAGCTTCATGCAGTTGCAACCTTAACTGCAACTCAGTAGAAGAGCATTCACAAACTAACACCAAAAAAACAAGTAAATCTATCTCTTATCTGCTCTACACACAGGAGTTTAAGTCTTCTACAGTCACAATCACAATCTATACCTTACTTCATCACACACTTTACATCTGAAAACCATATACAAAGCGTACTGGGATTTCAGATCCTCAGATTGCAATGATAAATATGCAAAAGCTTCATTCATCCCATTCTTAAGGAACACCACTTTCTTCTAACATACAGGAAACCACAGAAGTTAACCCTTCTTTTCCGATCCAACTTAAACCCATTCAAGTCCGGTCTTTCAAAACCTTTGATATATTTTTCTCACTGAGGAATATGCACAATTACTTCACTGAGCTTCAAGATTAAGAGCCAGAAATAAAATATATGGCAGCAGCTTTCAATGTTGAATGAAATTAAAACTTACTTATAATACAATCACACATTTTAAGGTCCTCTCACACAGTCACATTTTTTTCAGCTGACAGACCACCAAGAGAGAACCAAGTGTCAGTGCTACTACTTCTTGAGTTTAAGCAGTCATTCTGCACAATGGGAATTATATAAATCAAACAAACCTTACTACAGGAGAGTGAGGCTTTGAGAAATCCATAAGAAACCAATTCTCAGTCTATTCTTGGCATAAGGACTATTAACTATCTTAGAAATAAACCAATGATTCGTAATTAATTGGTCTATACATTACAAAAAGTCCATCCAGCTAAGCCATCAACAATCAAAATCCTGTTAGTAAAATCTTGCCTAGACAGGAAAGCTACTGATGTTGTTTACACACCAAATTAAGTAATACTTTGCATCTTTCAGCTACCTTACATGCTTGATAGCAGAAGGAATAATCTTTCAGAATATAGATACTGAGATTTATAAAAACCAATCAATCTGTATAGTTCAAAAAGAAAACCCAAACCTGTAATCACGTACTTATTTTACCAGGAACAAATTTTGCTTAGAATACAGTACTTTTCTGAAAGTGTATATACCTTTTCAAATACACAAATAAATGTTGCAACTAGGTTTTTAGTAAATGCTGTGAGATACTCTCTTCCCACATTCTTGACAATGGAATCCATTAGGTACATAACGGGTAGCTTCTCTGATGCAGGAGCCTGGAGTAATAAGAAGAAACTGAGAAGTTTAGTACAACAAAAACATACTTTAACCTTTTCAAATAAAGGGATTACCAATCCCAGAAATACAGACCTCTCTTTGGTTGCCACTATAAATACCAAGGGATATGGTTTGGAATTTTTTTTAATACAAAAACTTAATCTGAAAAATGGACAGTCAGTTCAAAGTATAATGCAGTGGGTCTATCACAAAAAAAACAAAAAAAAAAAAAAAACAAAAAAAAAAACACCTTAGGTTAATTTGTTTGTGTATGAAAGCTTTGGAAAAAGTGGGGGAAAAAAAAGAGGAAAAAAGAAGCCCACAAGACAGTATTGCCACTAGTGTACCGAGTATAACCTTTTCCTTGAGGAAGCAACTTAGCAGGATACCATTGTCAGCACTTCAAGGAACTTCTAAAAATCGTTTATAATTCAAACCTCCTGGATGGATTTTCCTGCATTTCACAGAATGCAAATTAGACTTCTGGCAAATAGCCCAAGTCAGTGAACTTCTGTAGCTGTAAATTATATGTTGATTATCACAGTTTTTCGTCAATTACACGTAGAAAAGGTTGCAATTATTTCACTGTAATCCAACTGGATATAGCAGAGAGTCCCAATTCTCTCTTGGCACTTGCAGATGGTGACAGTTCTGATTTCCAGAGTGCATGCAAAAACAGAGTTCAAAATCCAGTCAAAACTCAATCATCTCGTGGATTGGATAAACGCACAGACAAGCTCAGGAACTGCAACCACATTTTTCATAGAAGGTTGTCTTCAAACTCTGGACACAGCTTTGCTACAGGAGGCTCAGGGGTTTTTTGTTTGGTTTTGGTTGGGGTTTTTTAAATCCTTTTTCTAAACTCATACTAAGTTTGTGCAATAGAAGTGTGGTGACCCTGGACCACTATACCAACTTCCAATTAACAGAAAGCAGCACTGGACCAATAAAAGTGATTTTAATGCCTGCCAGTGGCTTTCACAAAGCAGAAGGCACAGCAAAGTTCCAAAAAACATCAGGAAGTACACAGACTTGTTGAAGAGGACATGAAAAACAACACAAGCAGGGCGTGTTGACCATGAACCTCTTGGAAGAGCATCCACTTTAGGTTCCATCCACCAGCTGGTAAGCTTGGGATAAAAGCAGAACAACTCTCACTGTTCATTTTCAAGAGAATAGGCTTTTAGATTAAACAAGACACCTTACTTGGCAGGCCCATTATCCAGACAAGTGTGTGAAGGGCTACTGCTTCACCATTTTAAATTCAACTCCTTCCCCTTTAAGGTGGTTCACAGAAGGGCACCCACTCAACAGTATTTTAACATGGGTAATGGGGCTTCCTCACCCTTAGAAGTGTTATTAATTTGCCATGACCTGAAACTTATTATTGAAGAGGGCAGAACTCCTTGTTAGTTGGGGCGGGAGGGTAGAGGGGGGTGTCACTGCCTTCGAACATATTGCAAAAAATTAGAAACGGGCAGATGATGCATTTTGTATATAAAAAGACAAAAACCCAGCTACCATAGCTAAAACTAATTGCAGCACATTAGAAGTCAATTTGACACTGTGATGCAATACTGAACTGTAAACAACCTAAGGTGCAAGTGTTAGAAAAAAGCATCATTTAAGTCTCAGACACAGAAGACTGTGGATCTGCAGCTATTTAAAATGAATGTGGAATACTGGCTTCTTCTTTGAAGCAGTCTGCACAATGGCACATTAAAAACAGTCCAGTTCTGAGTGCCTTCCTTTAGAACAAAATGACAGTGCACCATTTCTGACTTTTAGTCAGCTGTGTTAGACACACAAAGAGCTCTCCCAGAAGTACCTATGCCCAAGAGCTACTCCCCAAGTTGAATTCTTCCGTTTCACCAATGCAGGAAAGTAGCTCACTACACTTGGCTAAGCTGGAAGTTTGAGCTGGAGAACCATTAGTAGCAAAAGCACTGAAAAAAGTTTAACTGTCCCTTTCATCATGCATCAGACTGTTAACAGCAATCACACACAGAAACACCATCATCTAAGTAAGGAAGCCAACCTCCAACTATGGAGCACAACTAGCAGCTCAGCAGAGTACCCTGCTTCAAACATAAGCTATTCAGGCGTCACATTTTAAGAAATGTGACTTAAATAGGGTCGGAATATTTAAGTCTTCTCTTCTGGAAGTGTTTATTATGTCAAGGCATCTAGCACGTATTTCAACAACCACAAAAGGGAATCCCACATCGGAACACATTTTGTTTTCAGGAAGTCTCTGCAACACCCCCAAGCAAGAAAGATGCCCACACGACACTAATCAAAAGGCAGGGAGGTGCCGCATAATCACCGGAACGCAGAAGAACACTAACTCTGAGCTCATCAGCATGATATTAAAGACTTCTTTACAGAACTCCCACTCTTCCTTCAAATAACGTAGGAAAGCTACTGTTGGAAATGTGTGGCTTTTTTTTATTAGTTTCCTAAAAGGTTTCAAGTTTAAAATAATATCTGGCAATTCAACCCCAAGTCACAAACTTGTGAAAAAATTTGTTAAAAAAAAAAAAGCAACTTTGTGTACAAAATGGGTCTTGGAAACAAATTCTGCACTATACAATGGTAAATAAAAAGACAAATACATATTTCACACTTTTTATTTACAAACTTTAAAATACCAGTCACACATTTCAGAACCATTTATTAAATTGTAAAGCAGACCACTCATGTTTTACACTAAACAAATGTCTCCAGGCAACACTTTTTAAAAGTGGCTTAGTAAAGGAGATCACTTTCCCAGAAACAACTAAAAACTTGCCTTGAATAAACTACAGTCATAAACAGTAACTAGGCAGAACTAACCATTGATACAGGTTTTAAGACATCTTTTTAAAAACCCCCACACTTCAGGGCAGGTTCTAAATCACCCAGAAATGAAAAAAAAAAAAGACAGCATTGTTATTCATCACAAATCATTTTATACACATCCACTGCCCTTTAGGAGATATAATGGTGAGAGCTACTAGATTATGAGGTCACCTCCCCAAGGAATGGCAAAACTCAGCCACTGGCAGCATTTAAAACTAGACTGGAAGAAGTCTGTGGCACACTAAAAAGACATCCTGCATTGATAGAAAGATAGATTAAGTATCTTAAAAGATGTTTCCTACCCCCATGATTAGATAGTACAATTCTCACCATTATAAACCACGATTAAAGCCAAAGAAAAAAAAGCCTTTTAACACCTGAGATCAGAGGGAGCAAGGGAAACAACGGGGGAGGGGTGGCTGGCACGAATACGGGGTTGGGGGGGTGGGGAATTGAAAGAACACTTTTCTTCTAAAATACTCGCTAAAAAGGTGCTGCAAACCCCCATGCATGTACAGTGGCTGACTGATGTCAGCAACTGCCTGGGCTGGGCTCAGAGGGAGCCTCCTCTTTCCCTTTTTATATCATGTGCCTTTCAGACGCCATGTTAGGATCCTACAGGCTGCTACAGTTCCACCACATCTTCCACTAATAAACTTCTCTAGCCAAAATAAATTAAATACGCACACAAAACTAGTGCTACTCGGGGCACAGATCACCTGAAATCCAAACAGATTATCCCAAGCCCACAGAATTTTCTCTAGCGAGGCAGAGCAAAACAACCCCCACCACCACCACACACACTTCTCTAACCGAAAGAGATGATCACCTTTCACCCACAAACTTTTCTACGATATAAGGGAGCCTCCACCCCTCAATTAATCTCTCACAGGGACCTCACTGGGGAAATAGTTTTAACTTATACTTACAGGTCACTATATTTAGCTCTTCAGTGGCGAGCAATTTGCGTTCTAAAAACCTAACCTTATTTTCCTTTTAGACCACCCCCCAAGAAAAACCCAACTCTCCACGAGATCTCCCCACTCGGGTCCTCTCTAAAGATTGCAATATCCACTTACTACAGAAATGGCCTAAATGCAAGGGTTTAGTCACCAGATTCGGACACCGAATGCTGGCTGCGTGTCGGGGGAAAGCCCCGCTCCAAGGGCGAGGAAGTGCAGCTGCCCAGTCACTGCCGGGCCGCCATGTTGTGCCTGCTACTAACGCGGGGCTCCCGGCGCGAGCCGCGCTGCCCTCCTCCCTCAGCTCTTCCTGGGGCCAGTCCCAAACCCTTCCCTGCTCCCAACAGGGTGGTGTGGGGGCTGCTCCCCTCCCTCGAGTCCCCTGCTCCCTGTGCGATGGGGGAATAGAAGCAGCAGCAGCACCCTTAAGCTCCGCGATGGAAGAAGGAGGAGCCCCCGCCCGCCGCCTCGCCCCGCTGCTCCCTGATCCCAGCTGAGACACGCTTCCCTCCTCCGCCTGTTTGCCCCACGGCGACCCCCCGCCTCCTACACCCCCGTCCTCCCCCAACTCCGTCCAAATCCCGCTGGCTCTATTCGCCCCCTCACTATCAGCACCCCCCGCCCCGGCACTACTTCCTAGGCCCCCCCGCAGCCCCAGCCCGGCCATGCCCAGCCCGCCTGAGCCTCTCCCCCTCTCTCTCGCCCCATTTCCCGACCCTCGGGCCCTCTCGTCCCCCTGAACCGCCTCCGCCGCTCGGCTCCCACCGCGCCTGTCCTGCGGGCCCCCGGGCCGCCCTACCCCGCTGCCCCGGCCGGTCCCCCCAGCAGTATAGGTAGGAGTAGTAGTCGGTGGAATATAAAAACCTTGGCGATTTGCGCCTCGATCAGGGAGACGATGTCCTTGGCGAAGGGCACGTTCTCCTCGGCCAGGATGGTCAGCATGTTGATGTGCGGCTTGCTGTTGAACGTCAGGTCCTCCAGCGACGACTGGTAGTCGCGGCACGCGTCCTCCCGGGCCTCGCTGCTGCCAGCGCTGCTCTCCGGGGCCGACATGCTGCTCCGACCAGGACCCGACCCACCGACCGACAGCCCCCTCCCCGCGATCCCCCGCCGCCGCCGCCGAGCGAAGCCGATGCCGCCCCCCCGCCGCTGCCGCTGGGCTCCTCTACCGCATCCTCCACGCTGAGGCTCCCGCTGGCTGCGCTGCCGGTGCCGCCGCTCCTCGGGCCGCCGCCGGCTCAGTCTCCGCGATCACAAAATGGCGGCGGCGGGCACGGCTCGCGAACCGCTTCCCGCAGCCGTTGCGTCATGTGAAATTGTGCTCAGGAGAGGGGCCGGCGCCTTGGAGAGGCCCTTTTGTCCGCCGGACGCGCCCTGATTGGCTGGTGCCCCACCCGCGCGGCTCGCCATTGGCTCGCCCGTCACCACAGAGGCCCCCGATTGGCTGGCACCGCCCTTCCTCACCGCTGACGGGCTCCTGCGGCCAAGTCCCGCTCTCGCACGCGCGTCCCGACTCGCCATTGGCCGCATCTCCCGTCCCGCCCCGCCGCTTCCTCCCGCCTTCCGGCGCTGCCCCGAGCGCTGATTGGTGCTCGGCGCGGCTCGCGCAGCCCCGCCTCCTGCCGGCCCGCCCCCGCCCCCCACGGCTCAGCTCCCTCACGGGCGCTGGGTTTGCCCCGCTGCTCGGGCAGCGACGGGGCGTGGGGCGGTGACCGTAAATAAAACCACATGAAGTTCCACCTCAGCATGAGGAAAAGCTTTTTTCACCTTGAGGGTGGCAGGCTGCCCTGGGAGGTTTGTGGAATCTCCCTCTCGGGAGACATTCCAAACCCATCTGGACGCGCTCCTGTGTCACCTGCTCACATGACCCCGCCTGGCTGCGGGGATTGGAATAGGTGATCTCCGAGGCCCTTCCAACGCTGACAATCACGTGGTTCTGTGACTCGTTCGCCTCAGCAAGCGGCCCTGCCGCCCGTGTTTCTCCCTTTCACCAGCTACCCCTCGCACCAGTGTGTCCGGGTCTGAGAAGCACAGAGCCAGGAGCCGCAGGAGAGAGCCAGGAGTAGCCAGAGCAAAGTAACAAAACCTGCCTTTCCTTGGTCCTTGGATTTGCCCAAAGGTATCTCTTGGAAGTGAAGTTGTTTGCAAGCATTTTCAGGTGCCCCACACTTCCTATTCCTTGGTAACTGGAGAACTGTCAGCGTTTGAAACCAGGCAAGGGGTGAATGCTTCATTAAAATACACTGCATGAAACACATCGTGTGGGATCTTGTTTAAAGTGCATCTTGTATATATATATATACATACAGACATAAATATATTCTGCAAATATAGTAGAAAGATACTAAAAACATAAGCCTGATGCATTTCTGACAAGAACTGCTGCTTGTTGTTTTATATGGCTAAAAATTTTAGTTTGTGTGCTCACGTTTGTATCCCACTTAGGGAAAACAGAGAAGGAGGGAACAGGAAATGCAACGGCATCGTCTACTTGCCTGTTGAATTGCATGTTCATGTTTGTTCCTGTAAGCCTCACAACACTGTACTTTGAACACACCACTTCGCCTTTACAGTGTGTCGAAGAAGATACGAGAATAAAACTGAAGTTTCTGTTCCTGGCTGACCAAAGCTGAGATCACAAGACCTTTTCTCAGACTAAATGTTAGCCAGCTGTTTGAAGACACACTGTCTATGAAGAATGTTAATTATGTACCAGGAATCAAGCCACAATGTATACCGAGTTTATTTGGCAAAACCAGAAGACACAGTTCTGCTGCTAGGGGAAAAATGTGGGGGTGGGGAAATCTAGCTCCTCCTCCAAAGTCCGTGTTTGTGAGTTAGAATTCTCATTCCTATTAATTACAGGAGCAAAACTAATAATAGAAACAAAGCAGCCTTGATGAGGATACCGTGTGGTCCAAGGCCACACTCAAAACCAGGTTTGCCGTTCACTAATCAGGAAAGGACGGAGCCTGCTGTGAGGCGAAGGAGTTTGCTGCCTCCAGAATGCAGAGCCTTCCTGAGACTGAGTACACTCAACGTGCCTGAGCAGATCTCATGTTTTAGTGTAATACTAGTTTGCCTTTTATAATTATGAAGTTTGCCTTTACCAGTCTTCACGTGAAGCCAGCCAGTGGCACCTCACCAGGTTGGTGGTGAGAAGAACCCGTGTGCCAGATGAGTCGTGGGAACACTTCATGCTCTAAGCGATTTCTGAAACAGCTCATTAAGAGTGGCACACGAATACGCATTGAGTCTATCATTGGGCTCTTTAATGAAAAAAGTTGATCATTATTATGGAATAGTTTATTATTTGTGTTATTTGTGTTGTTAATTACAGGAATTGTGTTGTACCAGCAGTGTGTGCAGAGTGAGGGTTTCTCTGTGCCTACAAAAGCACACTTCATACATGTGTTCTTGAACCTCCTATCAAATGCAGAGCACCTAGAAATTCCTCTGATGCAGCTGTACTCCACTGCTTCTTATCACAGTTGACATAGCTGTCAGATAAAGTTTGGATATTTGGGTCATTTGAGGGTTTTTAATAGATGCAGCTATGGGTTTTGCTGGCATAAAACCTGCTAAAAAGCCTCTAAACTAGACCCACATATAGCACACATGACTTGAGAATCACCAGCAATTGGTAATTAAGGAAGTTTTGCTGGATAGCCATGAAATTATTGTAGTACATAGGAAAACATGTCAAGGTAAAACATCTTCTAAGAATTTATTACATTCTGAAATATTTATAGTTGAAAATAGTCATGCTTGTGTTTATGTGTTTATGTTATGAGATTAATTTTCTTAGGAAGTTTTATAAAATTCCTTTAAACTATTTTATAGCTATACAAGCATGGGGGGGGGGGGGGGGGGGCTGAGGGAGGAAGGATCTCTAGGCATCCAGAAATGTTCTTGCTGTTTTTCATTCTAGAAAAGCTAAAAAAAAAAACAAAAACCCAAAAAGACCCCCAAAAAACCCAACTAATTAAAAATGCATCCTTTTTAACATGTCTGGAAGTGGAAAACACCGACACAAAAGAAACAAACACAGTGTCGATTTTTAAATATTGGTTTAATGAGATGCAAATTACCCCTCCGTGTATGAGCTGAAGTCCTTTGTTCTCCAGCCGAGATTCTCTTAAGGAAGCAGGCTGTGCTTCTCCTGCTTCTCGGTGGGCTTCCCAGAGGGTGGGGGTGCAAAGCTTTGTACTCTCCTCAAGCTTCCAAAGCAGCTCTGCTGTCTCTAGCCTCACACTCGCCGGCAGCTGATTTCTGGAACAGCCTTGACGAGAAAGTTTGCCGATGTAGCTGCAGCAGAAGACCTGGTAAACCCTCCTAGGGACAGGATCCAATTTAAATCGTTTAATAATTATCTCTTGCTTATACCAGAACTGCAAAGGGTGTTTTGCTGTTGAAACCACACCTGTGGGTTTTTGCTGGCAAAGCTATATTGATTGGTAAGTGTTGTTACATCCTGCTATTGCTAAATCAGCAAAACTTTTAAATATAAACCAAATCCCTGTCATCTGCCAGCCAGATTACTCCTTGCCCAGGTTACATAGGTGTCAGGCAGCTTCCCTCACTTTTATTCACCTTTAGAGTTGTACCTTGGTGACCTCTGTCTGAATAACCACAAGCTTTTTCTAACTGGATTATCTCCTGTTTAGAGCTAAGCACCTGGGTTGTTCTGAAGGTGGAGAGCCTAGTTTTGTTCAGTAGGTCAAAATATAGGAAATGCTGGAATTACAGATCTGTGGAAGCACAAAAAATTGCAGCTTACTTTTCTGGTGAATACACCTGAGTTGGAGATGCATGATGAAGGAACCACCTACTAACATTTCTTTACTTTCAAAATTCTGGGTATTGTAACTTTTCTAATATGTTAGCTTCAGGAAGTCTATATTTAGTAAAAGATCATTTGCTAGGTTGATACTTAGGAAAAATTCAAATACAGACATAGTGAAAAACATGTTTAGTATGTCTAGACAAATGTACCAACCTGTATTGCCTTTCAAAGTTCTGTAAGATAGTCCTGGCAGCTTGTAATTTCTGCAAGATTTTCAGTGTGATGGGTTCATCTTTACAGGAAGGCAGACAGACATCAAACAGCAATGAGCCAAGATCAAAGACTAAGGATAGATAGGAAAGAAACTTGAATCTACATATTCCTGTCTTTGTCAATCTCTACTAAATACCATGGCAATTAAAAGATCTCTGAAATATTCAGGACACTATTATCAAACTAAGTATTTGGTATGTGGACATAGTGCCCAAAGATGTGACAGTAAGTCTTGTGAAGCACATCCTTATTTGCAGTGTCTTTAACTATGTGGGCTACCACTAAAAGCCTGCCGACAGCACCTATTTTCCTTGTTTTCCTGTTGTTAAAGGCTTGCTGCCTCCCCAGGAAGGTTTCTGTAATCTTTGGAAACCCCATGTTGTCACAGCTAGATTGTTACTGGTACCCAAGTTGACATGCCACTAGCTCACCTTCTGAAATGACGTCTTCGTGGGTCTTGGGAGACTGGAGGACTCAAAACCCAGATATATTTTACTCTGGCTCATCTGTGTCATCTTCAGCTACCCAGAGAGATATTTATTACCATTCTGGGTTAGCTGGGTGACATTTTGCTGGGCAAGGTTCTGGGTTGCTACAGAAACTGTCTCTGCAGATCCATTCAATCAAGCAAGGCTCTAGTGACAAGACTCATACTTTCAGCAAGAACATAAATAATTCACATTTTTGCTGGCCAGCTCTCTGTGCCTTCCCTACAAACAGGCTGGCAGCTCCAAGGAAAGAAGTTGCAATTAGCTGGAACTAATTTCTAGAGATTTAAAAGCATGTTTACTAAGGTAGACTATATTTTGGAAACATTTTGCTTTAGGGACTAATGTCTTTTTGGAAACATTTTGCTTTAGGGACTAATGTCTTTTTTTTTTTTTTTTTTTTTTTTTTTTTTTTTTTTAGAAGAGCAACTCCAGCATATTTGTTTGTCAACTATTTTTCAAAAAGATAATGAGAAAGACTTCTGGTTTAACTAAGCCTGCTCCTATC